TCTCCTCGATCATCCTTTGCCGGACGGTGGAGTGCCAAGGAAGCTGTTTTCAAGGCCTTGGGTGTCAGCAGCAAGGGCGCAGGTGCCCCTCTCAAGGACATTGAGATCTCAAGTGACTCAACCGGTGCCCCCGTCGTCAATGTAAGTACTACTTTGTCATCGCCCCGCCGATAGGAAATCCCGACTAACTTGTTATCCAGCTTCACGGTGCTGCAGCTGAAGCTGCCAAGCAGGCTGGCGTCAAACAGGTCAGTGTCAGCATCAGCCACAGTGATACCCAGGCAGTCGCGGTCGCGGTCTCCAAATTTTAATGCGCTTGATGAGGAATAATGGCCTGAATTTATGTCATGTACCTTGAGTGTAATCTATCATGTCTCTTTCCTAGCCTCGTTAGACAGTATTAGATTGTCAATACATAACGTCTTTGATTCCAATGCTTGTTCAAGTGTTCACTTATCATCCTCTCTCCTCTGTGTTTGTTGCGCTGCTTGGTTCCGATAGGAGGTTCAATGTGTGGGTTGCTGACCTCACAGCGAACGCCTCAACTCTTACTCGGTTGTATTCCCACGCTTAGAAGAGCGTATTGAATCCATGATGGACAATTTCTCAAAGCTTACATGGGTAAACTTCAAAACTTTCTAAGGTACTATTAAGTAATGCAATGACAATTGAAGTGCAGTTATGGTGGATGATAGCTATCTACAACTACACTAGATAAATGCGCAATTCAATGTTCTACTTGCCTCCGGATGCTCGGCTCAGAGGACCCCAGTTCTCACGAGGATTTATCTGATACCGCACCAGTCGCTTCTTGGCCGTCTCCCTGCCCAATGCTTCATCGAATACAACCTCCAGCGTGCTAGGGTGCGGTCTGCCTGTACCATTGGGACTACGAGGAGCCTTTGTGTCCTGGGGGCCCTTCTGCGTTGTTCCCGGCTGTTCACGCTGGGGATCAGATTCCCTTCTCTTCCTTCCAAACGCTTGACGGGCACCGGAGCGATACAAGGCAGCTTCAATCTTGGTAACCATATCTTTGACATCCTTTGCCTCTTCTGTGACTGCCTGAAGCTCGGTCTTGAGAAGTGCCAGAGACGGGTCTTCCCCCTCACAGCCTTGGACATTCTCCCGGCTCTTGGACATAATGACAGCGCCGGGACTACCGGGCTTGAGGGCGCCTTCTCTGATGGGAGACTTCTGCCTCACCCATTCTCTCATTATCTCCCAGATCACCTCCCAAGGAGCATCGGTACGAATTGTATTCGGTCTGGCGTGGCTACGGGTTGACCGGTAGCCTAGGTGTCGAATAGCCCCACGCATAGCATCAATGGAAATCGTGGATGTATGCAAAACTTTGGATAAGGCGCTGAGACTGAAGTAGAAAGGGTATTCTTCCCGGGCGGCGGGGTCAAGCCGTGGGATGATTGCAGAATACTCGTTCACGGGGAGATCCCCACCGACTGTGCCAGTAGGTGTCTGATTGGCTTCGTCACTAGGAATTTCTAGATTCAGATCTTCTTCCATTGCTGTGGTCAACATTCCCTCGATCCGGTCAATGGTGTGATACACGTCCCTATCTGCCTGGGGAAGCATATCAAGGATCCTGCGGATGAAGTGAGCATTATGAAGAGGACCAGCCCACATAGGACCGCTGAGGTGAGTCCTAGAGCCACAATGGCCACAACGACTATCTGCTACCGGACCCTGAGCGAATCCGAAGTGGTAGAACGGATTTCCTTTCTTGTCCAGCTTCTGTTTCGTCTGGGTTATAGGCTGAGTCGACCAAGCGCCACAGCCAGCATCGCAGTTGTAGACCATCATCATGTTTCCAGAGATATACTTGACTTCAGCTGGGGAGCGATGGACACGGACGAACACTCGGGCATAAAAATCGATCGATAGGGACAGAAGCGGCTCAATCGCGAGACCATATTTCGCAGCGGAGGCTGCAAGCCCGTGCAGAATGAGACGCAGGCCACCTTCGTGGCAATGCGGTCCTTTCACTGGAATTCCGCCATATAGGGCGAACGACTTCTCGGGATACCCGTACGAGGCCCAGACACCTGCATCGGTACAGGTCACACAAAGAAGGCCGCCATCCTTGACTGCCTGGACCGCAGCGTCCATGAAAGGTGCAGCAGAGCCGTAAGGGTCCAGATCAATCACGTCAAATTTTCCTAGGTGGCTCTCGACAGTTGGGGTGTTGGCTTGTTGGTTTAAGAGACTGTACATGTAAGCGCGCGCATCCCCGGTGTTAGGACGGATCTTTTCGCCGAGACTGTTGTATTTGATGTTCGTCTTCATGGATTCAATTGCTGAGGGTGACAGGTCGTTTGCGACGACGCAAGAGGTGAAAGGTATCTCCGAAGCATATCGCAGGGCACGCAGACCTGTAGCCGAGAGGGCATCTAAAATCGTGAAAGACGGCGCCGTGTCCTGCTCCGCCTGCTGTGCTGCAGTCGGATTCCCTTGGCCTTGAGTCTGATCCTGCGTTTGTTCCTTGATATCGACCTCTTCTCTCTTGCGCTTCTTGCCCTTAGCTGAGTCGTTCGCCGCAGCCTTTTGCTTCCTCTTCTCGGCCTTCTGTTTCTTCAGGGCCAGCAAATGCTCCCCATATGCGCGAATGGCAAGGACACTAAGGTCCCGGTTGAACTGTTGGATAGGGTTGTAGAAGACTGATTGCGATTGCTCGTCAGCTTTGCGATCCCTTTTCGTACCGGGAGCCTGAGCCGGGGGGTTCAGAATGTACGCCAATCCTTCCTTCACTGCTCTGTACTCAGTGCCGTCATACTGTATCAATTGTTCAGCCATCTCCGCAGCCGATGAGCGGGTAGAGTAGACTCGGCGGAGTGGCGGGCGTTGGTGGAATCCTAGGGCGGTGCAACGGGCAATTGCGCGATCGCTGCGGAGTCTGAAGTGGGTTGAGAGGGCACGATAAAGGATACCAAGGTGTGGGCGCATGGACCCGGACTTTGAAAATCGACCTGGTGGTGACTAGGCTATAGGCTAGGCAATAGATGAACAGCAAGTCCTTCGTCTCTTTTTCTGCTTGTCGGAAACTTTTTTTGACTTCCGCCCGCCAACCTTTCCGATCAGCTAAGCACGGACCAACTCCCTACTATCTAACCACACCAATGTCATAACTATAAACTCAATTCATTCCCCTCTTCACATTCTATCAGAGCTGTCATTAACATTAATTCTTGCTTCTTGCTTATTATACAATCATATCGGCCGTTACTCCCGCCCCTGAAGTATTATGTGTCGAAGCACTAACCGCTAGACCAAAAATGATTTATCGCGTCTAGTCAGCCAGGCGACGGAGAGACGTGTGTCCTCCGAATCAATTGGGTCAGAGCCAGGACCCAATAACGGGGACCTGGCTATAGATTTCATTCCAGCCCTTGGCCTCCCAGCCATAACCCTGCCCTGTACGCCCGATGATGCCCAGGGCGCCTGCAAGCCATATGGATGCTCCCACCGCGGCAATGCCGTTGACCGTCCACCACATCTTCCTCTGTCGGCGGAGTCGTTGCTCACTTTCCGAGGCTCCCAGGTAACCCTCTAGGGAGCCCTTTTTCCGGTCACGTTCTTTCCGGACCGTTGTCACTCTCCAGCCCATCCATGCAGCCCAGCCGCCGACGAAGTGCCACACCCCAACGGCGACGAATAACAGATAGTATAGATTCCAGAGTGCGGGGGCCCGTGCAAAGCCGTGGGCCACATAACCCAGCCCGACTCCTGAGCTTCCCCCATCGACCATTAACGGAGTAATGCGGTTGACGAGCACATGGGCGCCAAGTAACGGAACCAACGAATATCCTAACCGAGCTTGGAGACTCATCCGAGGCCAAAACGTCAACGAGTGTCTCTGTGACCTTGTCTCAGCACCATAGAGTCGCGCCCGCCGTGCGGAGCGAATGTTGCGCAAAGCAATTCCGGACGCAATATGAATCAGAACAGGCGCGGTCAAGACGAGATGTTCGAGGCCCGGAGATTGATAGACGGGTCTGGTGAGAAGTAGGAAGCTCTCGCTATCAGGTACGGATCGAGTAGCCAGAGGGATGAGAGAGGTATTGGCCCAGTGCAATGCAAGGAATAGGGTTGGTGGATACGTCGAGTATCGTTGGAAGGCAGCCACTGGAGATATTGAGGTCATTGTTAGCTCCTAGGAACAACGTATATTCTTGCCATTATCAAAATAGCTTGCATATACTTAGCCATACACCAGGAATCCCAACTGTGTCCGCGAAGACCTAATTTGAGCGATGAGAACCGACCACCCCCGGCGATGGGCTCGCGTGCCGATGGCGGACTTGGTTCTCTGGGGAAGTATTCACCAGATTCGAGGTCTGGAAACTCATCTTGGACCGGCGATGGGTCTAGTTCTTGCATTGAAAATATGGAGCGCGTTTCGATATCCTCTGGTTTGGATGGCATGCTTTCTTTCGAGGCAGCCATGGCTCTAAAAAAGCACCGGGCCACCAGGTGCTATGTTATATATGTCCGCGCCAGGAGCCAGAAATAAGGCTGGTCAACTATTACGATCAAACCGGCTGCGATGGGGTTGTCTGAATTCAGAGCATGATCGTTTGAACAATAATTCGTCGCTGTGATTTGGGGCAGCAGATTTCCTTGGAACTTGATCTCATCGACACTTTCTTGGTAAAGAACTGCTAGACGATGATCCTCCGTATTAGAGGCCTCATGATTGGCCCGTTATGGTCGACCTCCGTAGTCACGGTATTGCACCGGTATTGACGGTATCTAATCGAACACCAGTTCAAGCTCCTCTTCAGCGGGCGGTGGTTTTCTTTCGGCAAAAAGTATCAACCTCAACGCGCAGTCGCTGATAGATGTATGCTACCTAACAAGTTTCGACAACCAGAGGCTCAAACCATCACCGCTCAGCGAGCAAGCAGCGAATCTGCAAACCCGTACACACGCTCTTTCACTGTCCGCGACAAAACCCTTTCCAAGCGTATCTGCGTACTCATAGAACGATGGCGCCTGCAAGTGCCCAGATTCCGAACATCTCCCCTATTGAAGTTATATCTTCATAGCAACAAGTTCCCAAATCTCAGCTGACCAATGCGTCTACATACACAGCGAGGCTTTACCAATCCCACTCCCAAGGTGCGATTCAGGGCTTAGTTTCAAGGAGCTCGAGGGATGTAAAGACCCGTGCTTTCATGCTAACTCAGGACCACCGCATGTCAAACTAGACCGAATCTGCGCGTTCCGCTCTGAGCTCCTTCACCTGCACGCTCTGCAACAAGTCTTACTCTCGCCATCCAGAGTACGAGGCCCATATTTCTTCATATGACCATCAACACCGCAAGCGTCTCCAAGACCTCAAGCAGTTATCCCGGGACCCCAATGCCGCCGAGAAGGCCAGAAGAGCCGAACGGAAGGCCGACGCCGAGGCCGGGTTAAGGGTCATCGACACACCCAAAGCTGCATCAGTATCTACTACGGGAACGGCATCTGGAGCAGGTGGAAGTACAGGGGGCGGGGGAGGGTTTAAAAAGGGAGGGTTCAAAAGTTCCTTCACCACTGTGAAAGGACCTGTGGCTCCTGCAGCTCCCACGAAGAAAAACGTCCTAGGCGGTGACGATGATGACAACGAAATTCCAGAAGCAGATGATGCGAGTCTGCGGCGCGCTCGGAGCCAATCGACGAAACGCGAAAATATGCAGGTTGATCAGGCGGAGAGCGATACTGATGAAGAGTACGACCGGGATGGGGGTGTGAATGGGGCGTATTACAATCCTCGAAATCCTACCGGTTGTTCCCCTGCGTGTGCTGGTGCTAGGAACGTTCCTCTAGAGACTTCTTTTGTCTGAAACGAGCATCATGCGGAGCACAGTGCGGATGTGGCGATCACACCGACTATGTACTGTGACGTCAAATGGCCGATCACTATCCAAGTTTCCTTTCCTAATGACTTGATGAGTCCAATACGTATGTGAATGATGCTATCCAGAAACGAGACATTGCAAGCATGGAGGTGGTTTCTCAACCGTCTCTCTCCTTAGCGGAGGGTCGATGTTCTGGTAATAGCAACGGCAGCGGAGGAGCAGGCCCGAATTCAGCGCGGGCTCGTTTGTGGTGGCACACGCCAATAGGAACAAAGCCAGATGCGATTCTGAGATCATGCTACGGAAATATACAACCATGCCCGAGCACATTAGCTTCTAAAAATGCAGAATAACGTTGATTGTGTTGTATAGTCGTACAAAATCCAAGGAAATAGGAGAGCGAGGTAATATGAGGGAAAAGGAGAAATGGCTGTAACAATGATAGGGTACTAGACACATGATTTTATTAATTCAGTTTTTCTTCACCGTCGGTTCATATACAACGGCTCATCCTTTACAGGCGCAACAGCTTGGCAGCCTGGCTGACGATGGTGTCCTCCTGGGGGAAGCTCATGTTCTCGAGACCAGCGGCGTAAGGGGTGGGGACCTCGGCACCAGTAACACGGACGGCGGGAGCAGTCAGGTAGTCGAAACCGTATTCCATGGAGAGAGCGAGGATCTCGGAGGAGACACCGAACATGGGGTAACCGGACTCGACGCACATGATGCGACCAGTCTTCTTGAGCGACTGGACAATAGTCTCAACGTCGAGGGGCTTGACGGAACGAAGGTTGATGACCTCAGCATCAACACCGTACTTCTGCTTCAGCTCAGCGGCAGCGTTGAGCGACTGTCCAACACAGCGGGAGAGAGTGACAATGGTCAAGTCCTTTCCGGGGCGCTCAATCTTGGCCTTGCCAATAGGAAGAACAAAGTCATCCTTCTGAGCGGCCTCGCTCATGGGGAAGGCCTGACCGTACAGCAGCCTATGCAAGAATTGTCAGACTCAAAAACATTCCACAGATACTCCGATACTTCCACGGGGCTACGTACTCGTTCTCAAGGACAACGACGGGGTTAGGGTCGCGGATGGCAGCCTTCAACAGACCCTTGGCATCCTCCGAGCTCCAGGGAGCGACAACCTTCAGACCAGGGATACTGCCGTACCAAGCAGAGTAGTCCTGGGAGTGCTGGGCGGCAACACCAGCGGCGAAACCGTTAGGTCCACGGAAAGTGATGTTGCAGGGCTGGATACCACCAGACATGTAGTGGGTCTTGGCGGCAGAGTTGATGATCTGATCGATAGCCTGCATGGCGAAGTTGAAGGTCATGAACTCGCACTAGAGATCGGACAGCAGGTCTTAGTATACTGTGTATTTTCCCTCTGATGAACGTTGAATTTCCAGAGGTAACAGCAGATCGAGGAACTTACAATGGGGTGCAGTCCAGCAAGAGCAGCACCGACGGCGAGACCACAGAAACCGGCTTCCGTGATGGGGGTGTCAATGACCCGCTTGGGACCGAAGCGGTCCAACAGACCCCTCGTTACCTTGTAACTATAATAGTAGAGCGAGTTCAGATATGCGATCCATGGACTGCAGCCAAGTCAGACGAGGGACAGGGTGCCATACGCTCCGTTGTACTGCGCAACCTCCTCTCCAAGAATGAAAGTCTTCTTGTTGCTCTCCAGCTCCTCGGCGAGCGCCTCATTCAGAGCATCACGGACAGTGACCTCCTTGGTGCCAGATTCCGTAGCATATCCCCGGAAGCGCAGGATTGAGGGCGCGCATGCGGTGTGAGGGCGAAGGGGAGCCGAAGTAAGGCGCGAAGAAAGCAGACGAGCTGCTGGGCGGAAAAGTCGGGGAGCAGCCATGGCCGGACTGTGAGATATATAATATAAGAAGAAGGAAGAGGAGAAAAAAAAGCAAGAGAAGAGGAAAGGAGAATTACTTCACGGAAATACCGGTCTGTTGGACAATTGGTATCAAAGGAAGAAAGAACAGCCGATGGGGAGGCTCGTCACTCTTTTTCGGGGGTTCGGGGAATCTTTTTCGTCGACGAAGGTTTCGGCGGAAGGTTGGTTTTTGGTGAGAAGCTTCGAAGGGACTTGTTGGGCTTAGCGCTGACTAAGCCGTGTTGCGGTTTTGCTCTTTCCTGACGGTCTCACCGGTCGCCTCCTTCCGTAGCGTCCGTTTTGTCTCTCTCTCTCGCTCTTTCCCTCTCTCCCTGGCGTCTTGTCGGGACCTTTCCCTCCGATAAGCACTTCTGGGTCCCCCCTTCCTATCTATCTGAACTATTCCGTTTATTTAGTTAGCGCCTATCCGTGATAAGCTTGGTGTCGGTGCGTAAACCATCAAGGTACTTACTCACTTATCCATCTACCACCACGGGGGTTGCATGGCTAACTGATCCGACTCTCTTTTCATCCTTCTCATAATTAGAGAGAGAGAGTTTACTTGCGTGTGTCATTCATTACATTAACTGCTCGTTGTCGGTCAACACCCCTGCTTCGTATTTAGATATTCAATTCACGATTTCTGCTATTATTCTTCTCAATATCATCCCTAAGAAAGCATGAGCATGAGCATGTCCAGCAGCTACTATATGCTCTTCTCTACATTAGTGACCTTTCTTCTATTCTTTATATCCCCCTTCGTTTATGCTGTACAACCGACTGCGCCCAAGCCCATCGAGGCTCCATTGCGTGACCTGAAATGGGGCCAGCTCAATTTCCTTCACACCACAGATACTCATGGCTGGTTAGCTGGTCATTTACAAGAGTATGGCGCTGAAGTCTTCTTCGGAGCCATTCCCAGGCCTTACTGATTTCCAATCCCTTATAGACCCTCGTACTCCGCTGACTGGGGTGACTATATCTCCTTCGCTACCCGCATGCGCGAGAAGGCAGAGTCTATGGGTGTCGATCTACTAGTCATTGATACCGGCGATAGAGTGGAAGGAAATGGACTTTACGACTCTTCAGACCCCAAAGGCATCTACATCTCTAAAATTCTGCGAGAGCAGCATATCGACCTGATGTCATCGGGCAATCATGAGCTGTATAAGGAATCCACAGCATCAGCTGAGTTCTTTACCACTGCACTCAATTTCGCCGGACACTATCTTGCATCAAACATCGACTTCTATGACCCACGGACAAACGCTTTCAGGCCATTGGCACCTCGCTTTACGAAGATCGTCACCAAGCAATTGGGCATCCGCATCGTGGCCTTTGGATTTCTCTTCGACTTCAAAGGAAATGCTAACAACACTGTCGTGCGGCCTGTGAGGGAGACAATAAAGGAGGCATGGTTTCAGGAAGCTATCAGGGACCATGAGGTGGACCTCTTCTTGGTAATTGGTCATGCCCCTGTACATTCGGAGGAGTATTGGGACATATGGCGAGAAATCAGATCTCTTCGCTGGAGTACACCCATCCAATTCTTTGGCGGCCATTACCACATCCGTGACTACGCAAAGTATGATCGGATGTCCTACGGCTTGGCCAGCGGTCGCTTCATGGAAACGATCGGTTTTATGTCCATTAGTGGCCTCCCGACCCACCGTCAGCCCGGACTGTTCGCCTTAGCGTCCTCCCTGTGGCCATGGGACCGTTTCCATTTCAATCGAAAATATATCGACAATAACTTATTGTCATTCTATCATCACACTGGCCTGAATGAGACCACGTTCCCCACGGAACATGGACAGAACGTTTCCCAACTCATTGAGGAATCCCGAAGCGCTCTTCAGCTGGATGAAGTGTACGGGTGTGCTCCTCGCGATCTGTTCATGTTTCAAGTGAAATATCCAGGCGAGGGTAATATTTATACCTGGCTGGAGACTGAAGTGCTACCCGTATCCGTGAGAGATGAATCTCGTGCTGGGAAGCCAGCCGTTGTTATAGTCAACACCGGTGCCATCCGCTTTGACATCTTTAAGGGTTCTTTTACGAAGGATAATACATATATTGTCTCCCCGTTCACAAGCGGCTTTCGTTATGTGAAAGATATCCCTTACTCCCGAGCCTACCGTCTTGCCGATGTGCTAAACCGGGGACCGGGAATCTTGACTGAGGGCGACCAATTAGACAATTTGACTTGGCAGCTTGCTCCCCCTGAGCAATCAGCGTATACCCGTGGTGTATTTGGCAGCAGTGGTAGCCGATCAAGCGCTGGCTTCCTTACCAACCAAGTCCCATTCCTGAGTAGTGGAGATGCTAAGCCTGACCTAATTCCCGGATACACTACCCATGATGATGGAGGCAAAGATGGCGATGACACCATTCACTCGCCGATGGACTTCTTCCGGGTGCCAAATGTTATCAGGGGAACACCTCATTGGGGTGCATCTGAACCCCCGGAAATAGTAGACCTGGTCTATATTGATTTCATCGAGTCTAACGTGGCTGCAGTGGCCCCATACGCCGGTATTGGTGCAGACTTTTCTCGCGACAGCGACGTCTATATGCCAAATACAACATTGACCGGCTTGATAGAGGACTGGATAAAAGGAAACTGGCCCTGCGAGCAGGTATGAGCGTTCACCGTGAATCGCCTTTCAGTTGGTGGCTGGCGTATACATGCAAATTGTGCAATGACGACCAATGGGCCACTATTTCCTTAGATGTGTTCTGAGTACCAGCGCACAAGCAATGAAACTAGCTGAGTTTTAGATAAAGAATACTAGGGGGTAAGTGGGGTCTTCCCACTTGACTGGTAGAAATAGCTACGGATAAATTGTACTAGCTATCCATCAACCGAAATCGTTCGACAGCCAAGAAAGCGTACTGTACAGATTCATATTTATCGGAACACTCGAGTTGGAAGATTAGCTTTTAGCTAGTTCATTCCTGTTCCTCGTATCTGAGCAAGCCCTTGCCGCTGCGGTAACCGCTGAGGGTTTCCTGCACGCCTGCTACAAGCTCGGAGCCCTCCGTGTCCCATTTCCATTTGAACTCCTCAACGGGGATATCCTTAAACCTACCAGCCCGTGTCAGCTGCAGTACATCATTGATGGTGTTTTCCTTCAGCTGCGGATTCTTGTCGCCCCATTTGCTAACCCAGAAGCCATCGAAAACGAGGTTCTTGAAGATCAACAATCCCGACGGCAGAGAAACTGGCTGCTTCGACATGGCCCCGTAGGTGACCAGATGCGAACCTGGTGCGAGTGTTTTTGCCAGTGCGGTGGCACTCTTTCCACCCACACAGTTCAAAGCGAGGCGGATGGGCTCCTTCCCCTTGCGCGTGAGCTCATGTACAACGTTCCTGAATTCGCCTGAAAGCAACTCGGCCTCTGTGACCACCGCAGTCGCACCGAGATCTGTGAGTTCTTTCTTCAGAGCTTCTGTCTCCTCTGGAGTCTTCCGTTCCCGGACGACATTGAGGGTCTTGATACCCCACTCTCGTGCAAGCTGAATAGCAGCGCGTCCAACACCACTGTTTGCCCCGTTCTGGATCAACCAGTGCTCTCCGGCACGCATCCAGTCCCAGTCGCAAAAATCTTTAATCATGCGGTAAGCTGTTACTGGGTTGACACTAACCGTGCTGATCTGAAGTGGGGTCAAGCCGTCCTTGTTTTCAATTTTAATCAACTGCGATTCATCCAGCTGAGCATGAGTGCGCCAGGTGCCCTGTCCAGTCTGTTTCATGACAACCCAGTCACCCTTGCTGAGGTTTTTCACTCCAGAGCCGGTGGACAAAACCTCGAATGCGCCCTCATTTCCAGCGACAGCAGCCGGCTCCTGCGTACCGAGTGTCGATTGGAACGGTGGCTTGCTCGGGTATACACCCTGGATCTGATTCACGTCGGCAGGATTCAGCGGCGCAGCGAGCAGGCGGAGATTGACTTGAGTACCATGGGGCGCGGAGATGGAGTGCTTGTGAAGCCTGGATGACTGTCAGATACCTTGTCCCCTTGTGCAATAGCAGGGTCGCTGAAAAGTAGGATCCGACGCGGTGCGAGGACTTACTGTAGGACGTCCTTGGGCTCTCCGTAGCGCGAGTAGATGAGAGCCTTCGATTGCGTATACCCGTAGACTGAAATCCATCTTTTATCCCCAATCTGAGTATGAGGATATGCTCCTTGCAATTGGCGCTTGCTCACCGAGGCTAATTGCGATGCAGCTCCAATTCTGATGGAGCACGCAGCGTGGCTTCCGGAAGCCCTCACCGCGGACCGAATCATACCCCCAGACATCATTGTAACCACAGTATACTGGTATAGTCAGATTAGTCTGGTGAGATGAGAGAGAGGATGAAGTCTTCACGACGATGCGGTCGCGAGGAAATTCCTGATGACGTCGTCCCTGCAGCCCTCGGGCCGACGGAGATGAAGACGCCGATTCGGGTATTCATTTTGGCCCTCTGGATTGACAGAGGGGGATGAGTTCTATCCTTGGATATTTACAGACAATCATAAACGCAGATGCAAGAGACATTGCTACCAAGACTAACCCATGTCATTCCTGAGTGTGCGGCAGTGAGTTTGGTCCTTGTTTACTACGTCAAGTCCCTACTCAGCAGGAGCTGGAGCTTCGAGAAGCTCTCGAGTACCGGTATGGTACCGTACAGTATGATACCATGGAGAGAAAGCACTCACCGCCCTGTCTCGCTCACCGCCCGCGGGGATGTCCGCCGCATACAATCAATCGATCAATGAATCGATCGGTTTTCTAGAAAGCTTCCATTGTCTAGGTGGTACCCTTTTTGTATAGAGTTACACACCTCAATGTCGCTCTTGCGCGAAGCCGAGAAGTGCTTGGCTAACCAGGGCTCTCATGCGGCTCTAAATGCGCTAATCACCACTCTACATCAGTCAGGGCAATGGTTGGAACGTGTGAGAGATGCGGATGCGCGGCGCACCCGGGGTGAGTATGAAGGCTGCATTGCAACCAATCCTCGCTTTCTTCAGAGCTAACAAACTCGCTTCTCCAACTAGGGACGCCCAAATCCGAGGTAGACGGCCTGTTGGTCGCCGTTAAGGACAATATATGCACACGCGATCTTCCAACAACATGCGCTTCAAACGCTCTGGATAAATTCGTCAGTCCGTTTAACGCGACAGTTGTTCAACAATTGGAAGATGCAGGTGCCGTCGTGGCTGGCAAAGCCAATCTCGACGAATTTGGAATGGGATCCCACTCTATACATTCGAACTTTGGTCCTGTCAAAAGCTCGCGCCGTGACCTGCATGCCGAGTATCTTTCGGCCGGTGGTAGTTCGGGTGGAAGTGCGGTTGCTGTTGCGACAGCCCAATGTTATGCGTATGTAACTCTCCGGATCAGCCTTGAATCATAGGGCTAGGAACGGCTTGGCTTAACATTGCTGGAATATTTACAGAGCGTTGGGTACTGATACAGGCGGCTCCGTGCGATTGCCCGCCGCATATACGGGAACAGTCGGCTTCAAGCCTTCTTATGGGCTAGTCTCTCGCTGGGGAGTAGTTGCGTACGCCAACTCACTAGATACGGTCGGAATACTGGGAAGAGACGTGGCCAGCGTTCGCCGTGTCTTCGGTATGTCTTGACTTTGTCGAATTCCTCCTGTCTCGCTGCGTCTCGATTTGCTAACCCGTGCTCGCAACATAGGCGTGGTAAACCAGCATGATTCACGCGACCCCACTAACCTTTCTTCCTCCAGTCGGTCGCGGCTAGATTCACATCTTAGGATGCCTGCCTTGGCGTCACGGACAAACTCTCCCCTCAGGATAGGAGTTCCAGTCGAGTACAACATATCAGAGTTGTCTCCATCTGCGCGACATGCGTGGTCTCGCTCGCTGGCCCATTTGCAGCGACAGGGCCACAGCATCCAAACGGTCTTCCTTCCAACGACTAAACTCGCGTTGTCGGCATACTATGTACTCGCGCCTGCTGAGGCATCCTCAAACCTGGCCAAGTATGATGGCGTCAGGTACGGGAGCCGCCCTGAAGCACCAGATGGGAATGCATCGTCAGAAAGTTATCTATATGCGAAAACACGAGGTGAAGGTTTCGGCTCCGAAGTCAAAAGACGGATCCTGCTCGGGGCATTTAGCCTAAGCGCTGATGCTATGGATAACTACTTCATTCAAGCACAGCGGGTTCGCCGCCTTGTTCAACATGATTTCAACACCGCATTCAGGGCATGCCAACCCCTGATTTCTTCGCAACTGGGATCAAAGTCGGATTCTGCAGACGCTGGTGTAGACGTTCTCATTTGCCCAACAGCGCCGTCATCACCACCACGCATTTCAAGCCTTATCGGACCCGATGCGACAGCTTCGCCCTTGGAGGCATATACAAATGATGTTTTTACTGTGCCTGCTAGTCTGGCAGGCCTTCCGGCCATATCTGTACCGGTCACTACAGAAAGCGCTGGTGATGCCGAGGATGGAGATTTGGCTGGAATCCAGGTTATTGGTCAGTACGGTGATGATGAGCTTGTGTTGAAGGTTGCCGAGATGCTCGAGGGCAGGCACCTATGAAAAACTTTTGTCTCCATAAATGCGAATACCCCAGACTCCATTCATAGATGTCTATATGTATACAAATTAAAATGTATAAACTAGAGAGTCTCCTAACAGGTGTCGCTGTAGTTCGTATAAAACCTTGCAAACTGAGATGTGCTCGGGATTCGGAGCGCAAAGAAAAGAAAACTATTGCAGACTAGTATATTATGTATACTTGTACAGAGTTCGAAGTCGTGATATCATTCTATCAGCCCCGTAACGTGCCCTGGTTAACGGGTCGATCATTCCAACACCGACCTCCCTAAGGCATGGCCGGTGTAATAGATTGGGTTAGGGATGCTAGACGTAATCACGTAACCAGTGGCCGAGGCGTTGACGGTATGGCGTTCAAGACATCTCAACATCTCCATCACCAGTTGACGCGTCGGGTATTGTAGTCTGAGGTGCCTCTGGGACCGGGGCATCGGCGCTCGTGGTGTCTTCAAGCGTGGTCTGGCCTGAATCTAGGTCCATGACACTCCCGGCTTCGTTGCCATTGCCAGCGGGATTAGCAGCAGCCTCGGTTTGACCGTCGGCAACCGGAGGAATAGCGGACTCATAAGCCGCACTGACACCACCTTTCAACACCTCGGAGCCACCAACTGCCCCAGTTCCAGAGCCGTCGAGCTCTGCGTTATTGACAACGTTGCCGTCTACTCCACCCCAGACGCACATCGCCTCAACCTCGTCCACGATATCTGCAACTATGTCCTCAACTATTTGCTCATTGAATCGTTCGCCAATTCCCCGAATTGGCTCTCCGTTGTCTGTATGAGATGGCGGGCCCACCCACCATGGCCCGTCGAAGCGGCATTCAACCGCGCCTCCGCCGTAGCAGCTGACAGCGGGGTAATAACCGATCATTCCATCATCTGCGTTCTCGCGCTCACCGATGCCCAAGTTATTCGTGCCATTGGCAAGTCGGCTGGCCGGTGGTAAGAAAGCATACAGTTCTTCGAATGGAGTGCCCATCTTTACACCGTTCTTGTATATTGTGATGCTTGAACCGGGTAGAGTTCGCAAGGATGCATCCTCAGCATTGAACGGAGATGGAGGCCCAAACGTAGGTGTTTCTTTGAGATTAAATGCGTAATCGCGTAGCTGTTTTGTTGGAAACACGTTCGATTGTTGCCAACAAAAGTCTGATTTGTAGTGGAAAGGAATGCGGTCACGGACTATATTCGTGACTGACGGGGCTTCTGAGCTCGGTGTTGAAACCTCGCCATCCGCACCTGACTCATAAGTTCCCTCTACAACTTTTTTGTGAAGAGAGAGTGGCGGGAGGGTGATCAGTAGGCCGATAACATCTCCCTCACGAATGGATTCGCCTTTTGGAAAGAAGTACTCGCACCGCATCCGATTGACAACCTCGCCATTCACATCACGAATACCGTATCCATAACAGTCGACGCCTACGTTGGCATCGAGGTCTGCCTCCCTTCGTGCGAAACCGAGACGTACATGTCCCCTGGACGGTAAATTTCCATTGCTATTTGAAGATGGAGCCGATGAATTATTCATAACACCACTGACGATGCGCGCTTCGTAGTAATAAGATCCCTCGCGCGCGCAGACATTGGCGCGTGCAGTATGCCAAGGTTCGTTAGAAGTAACTGCGAGAGCGTCTTTACTGAAAAGTATGGCAGCTGGAGAGTCTTCGAAGCTGAAGCGGGCATGGTAAGGCTGAACATCAGTCTGGCGGTATTTGATATGCGGAAAGCTGGGGTCGGCTATGGCGTAGCTATAACGAAATCCATTCTTGTTGGTGAGCTTATCGACGATCTCAAAGAAGTCCCAGCTTTGACCGATAACGTCTGATGTTTTTCGGTTGACAAAATTCAGCTGCCGGGGTTGTGGAGGTAACAGATCGGATGAGCGAGGCTCTGCCAGCAAGAGAGGCCTTAGTATGCTGAGTTCTGAGCTGGGAAGTGCAGTGTTTTGGACAGCAACTGCTCGCTTCTTCGGTGGCATGCTTTCCTGATCCAGGCCCTTGGCCTCACGCTTTTTGCGGCTGTCACGTTTGGTACGCTTTGACTTCAATCCATCGGCTTGTGCAGGGGCATTGCTAGCAGGTATAGGAGAAGATCTCGCATTAGAATCAGGTAAGGAACCGGCGAAAAATGGTGTTCCTCCAGGAGGCAAGATCGGAGAGTTCAAATTAGACGAAGGTGCAGAAGACCCAGCCGGTTGTGTGGAAGCCATTGTTGATCGACTCAAAAAATGCAATGTTGAGTGCGAGAGTTTATAGGCCCGGGGCAAAATCAGATAGGATAGACGTCAGTGTGGAATACTTGTTGATGGGAACCCAACAGTCCGGTGTAGGTTGCGCAAATGACTCGGTATCGGCAATGACAGGGAAAAGCCAGTCAGATATACTGTTACCACAGCTTTGTCGAATTAAATGTACAGGTCTCGGAGGGGAGTGACTCTAGCAAGAGTGACCAGAAGCCTCGATATGCGATGAGCGGAGGTGATGTTACAGTTTCCAGGATAACCTGGGGTCGCAATAACGCCTGTGGGAAAAGAAGCAGAAGGTCAGAATTAAATATGAATCTGTGTGAAACCAGAGCTGTCTTTGTATCTTCATTGTGGGTGTCGGAGCTGAGCCTCCAAGGGATATTGAGATATGTACCATGCCCTGAACACCATATAGAAAGTTGGAGATGAGGAACGCGGAAGTGGGTTCGGAGTGCCCTGGGACTTACCACAAGGGCTGCTGGTCGACACGACTTAGATTAGCCAGCTGTATTTATGAAATAGACCGCAGTCAGTTTATTAAGCAGTCGTATAAGGTCAAATAGTCGTTGATTGAACTCTTCTTGCAAGCTTCAAGGCCCGTCCTGCATCACATGCCTGTTGTTTATGCGCAAGTTGCATGCGACGAGCGGAAAGCAATCTTGTCGCCGATTAAAGGCGGTGGGCTACAGTATTGCCGGCAGGTGTCGAGGGCCAAGTGGTGCCTTGAGATAAGAGGGGTAAAGGCGGTAGAAGATATCATCCAATAAAAGATAGCATGCATAAAGCGGTGAGGACTGACTCCGCTTTGGCGACGCCAAAAAAAAGAGCTCGACAAAAAATTTGAATCACATGACCTGGAAATTTACACACATTTTCTTGGAGGTTGATACCCGAGAGAGAGACGATCCACGTTCGCAGTGCCTATTATCCGGTGATTAGGTGGATTCGGTGCTAGCTGGAGCCTTTTGATATCTTATAAATCTCGGCTTCTAATACACACATCCAAAGGGGCACCGTCACCATGCCCAAGGCAACATCCTCTCGCTCCGCCGCCGGCCGCCGGCACAATCCTCTAGCTGAGGATTATATGACTGCTGGTCATCTGAGAACTCAATCGGCCAAGAAGTCCAGTCGCAAGTCTCGTGAGGGAGACGAACAAGAAGATGGGGAGCGCTTCGTTGATGCGAAGATGTCCCGGAAGATCCTGCAAATCGGACAGGAACTGGCTGATGAGGATGCTGAAGAACAAAGAGCCACAGCAGGCGCTGCTGCTGATATGACGAACGCAGCCTTTGATTTTGAGTCTCGCCTGGAAGGCGATGAGGCCTTTTCCGATGACGAAAAATTCCAAGACGACCAATGGGACGACGAAGAGGAAATTGAGGAAGTTGTATGTCACTGGAATCTTTTAATAATCTCTGGGAACCCTTTTGCTGATATATCGATTAGGAGGTCGACCCCGATGACCTTGATATGTTCAACAAGTTCATTCCTGCAGGCGACGAAGACCCGATATTCAACCCCAGTGGACCTGAAGCCGAAGGTCAGACTAGGAACCTAGCCGATCTTATTCTGGAGAAGATCGCGGAACATGAAGCGAAGCAGGGCGGGGAGAGCGGCGGGCCCTTCATTCAGGGTGGTGGATTACCGGAGGATGCTGTTCAAATACCCGCGAAAGCGGTGGAGGTATATGAAAAGTGAGTACAGATTGCGCCGTGTTGCGGTTCACGCAAGGCTAATCGAAAATCAAAGGGTCGGCATGATACTTTCTCGCTACAAATCTGGACCTCTTCCGAAGCCCTTCAAGATCCTTCCTTCCGTGCCCAACTGGCCCACCCTTCTCGATATTACACGGCCTGAGTCTTGGACGGCCAATGCTGTCTATGCCGGTACCAGAATCTTCATTTCGTCGAAGCCAGCAGTCGCACAGGAGTTCATCGCGACAGTGCTCCTTGACCGTGTCCGGGAGGAAATTCACGAGACCAAGAAGCTCAATGTCCACACCTACAATGCGTTGAAGAAAGCGCTTTACAAGCCCGCCTGTTTCTTCAAGGGCCTACTCTTCCCCTTGGTGTCGAGCGGAACCTGCACACTACGAGAAGCCCACATTGTCTCTTCTGTCATTGCACGCGTCTCTATCCCGGTCTTGCACTCAGCTGCAGCATTACTCCGCATGTGTGATCTCGCTGCCGAACAGTCGTTGCGCTCTTTGGAAAGTACCGGTGCAGTGAACATGTTCATTCGCGTTTTCCTGGAGAAGAAGTATGCGCTTCCCTACAAGGTGATCGACGCCCTCGTTTTCCACTTCCTGCGCTTCCGTGCTACCGACAATGATGCCATGATGACCGATGGATCCCGTGAAGCCAACAAGGTTTACAAGCTTCCTGTCCTTTGGCACCAGTCTCTGCTGGTGTTTGCGCAACGCTACCGCAATGATATCACCGAGGATCAGCGTGAGGCGCTTTTAGATTTGCTTTTGGTCCGTGGACACAAGGATATCGGACCCGAGGTCAGGCGGGAACTGCTGGCAGGTAGAGGACGAGGTGTGGTTGCACCAGACCCGGAAAACCAAGGTGCTATTGATGCCGGTGATGATACGATGGATGTCACGTTATAGACGAAATGCTGCGGGACCGCGTTAGGAGTGTAAACTGGGAGGCGAGACGAGGTGCCCCCCGGTGACTTCGAAAAATTTGCATCTTGCTATGATTCAATCACGAGTCGTGACCGGCATGGGCGTTATTTTTGGGCTATTGAATTGTTACATCCATTTCTTTTGTTTCTTAGGCACATACTATTCCCACGGTTACACATGAGTTTGGCAGCTAGGTGCTTTCACTCGAGCACAGTAAAAGGTAGATAAAAATCCACCCTTTGGATAGAAAACGAGGGGGTGAACACAATTTGTTGTCACGTACAGCATTGTTTTCATAAGCGCATGCCACCAATCATTCATACATCATTCCTACGTTCCGACGGAGTGCAACAAAGCGCGAAGGGGGCGGCCCCAAACCTGACAGGGCTGTAGGATTTCTAGAAGCGTTATTAATTAAGTACGGGATGCTTTTTGCTCCCTCTCCCCCACTCCCCCTGTCTCTCGATAAGTGTCTATATTGCGTCGGAGCTAAGATCAATCTAACGGCGAAGGGAGACCGTCGGACTTAATTATTTAGATATCAGGCCATGACCCGAATAGTACCGTGTATGCGCATTGCGCAATAGTTAGCCCGTCGAGGGTGACCCCCGTGTTTCTGGTACATTCCACCCGCTAACCTAGTCGGTCAAGGAATGCGGGAAATTGAATAACAAGTTCCAGACCCCAAAGATATTGGCGCTCCAATGATTTCCCCTGCCACGCCCACAACATTGGAAGCCCCCTTCTGGCCCCATCTTTCACACCCTCCGTCTCTAAGAATGGCGCCACGGTGGATCAAGTTCCACGGATTCACTTTGTCTTATCACCAATGAACTGCGCCAACCACGTTCTTTGCCCCCTGGAGACTCATCAACCTAGCCCTGGATGCCACACTCAAAAGGGGTGCACAATAAGAGTCCAGACGCGTTCACAACATGAATGGTAATTACTGATCACATCAATGGAAAATGAAATAAAGCCTCCCCAATCGAAAAACAGTTATGACTACACACTACACACAAAAGAGCGAAAGCAAAGGCTGTATGTAGTACAGAATAGAACTACTATCTACTAAAGCTTGCGGATTTAATTGCCGGACGAAGTAAGACATCGGCGGGGATCGTGTTCAAAGAGAGGCAGTGCGAGAGATAAAAATGGCACAGGCATCATCGGAAGAATAATCACCGTGGGGAATTGGGCTAGAACAAAGTGGAATGGAGTAAAGTCCGTCAATCATCTATCTAGTATCTACGTACCTTTCTCCAAGGTATCTACGGAGTATGATCCGTAAGATTGCGAGTTGAGACCACAAGAGGGGCGTAGGGAGCCACTGGGGGAGGGTTCCACCTTGAGAGCGAGACTTGTCGCAGGTAAAGAGGGCTTTGAGACGGAAGGTGTGAAAGATGGGGCCAGAAGGGGGCTTCCAATGTTGTGGCAGGAGGAAACACACTGGGGGGGTTGTCTCTCTCTCTCTCCCTTCGCAGTCCCTCCCCTCCCCAAGCATTTGGCTTACAGAACGTACTGTGTAAAGTTACGGGGAACCATGGTGCCTGGAGTATTTACCGTACGGTCATTTGGGGCGCAAAGGGGCACATTCACCCAACCGGACATTGCACAGGGGCGTAATGGGTCTGTAACGGTTACCGGAACTTGGCTGACGACGATGACTCCGCCCCCTTACTTGCAGGGAGGCGGCCTGATCTGACCACGTTGGCCTTTTAAAGAGTCGCTCACTCCCCCAGCTCTCACAGTCGATCAGGAAATCGTCCTCACTCTCATCCTTTTATTCTTTCTTGGTTATTGAGGACACCTGTCCTTCTTGGCCCCATCTCTCTTGTTGTCTGGTACACTTGACCCCAGGCACCACTTGGCCAGGCCTGGCCCCCCCAGCTTCCCCCGTTATGACACCGTGGCCTGTGTTCCTGTGACACGGGCAAACCTCCACAATCAAGCTGTGTCGACCTACTTCACCGTCCTCCCTTGCAGTGCGGTTTAAGATAAGGCTCATAGTAATCTGATTGATCCACAATCAAAGATCAATCACTTGTCACGCTTGCAATAATGGAAGAAGCATTCTCTCCAGTTGACTCCCTCGCCGGCTCCCCGACGCCTGAGTTGCCATTGCTGACAGTGTCCCCGGCGGACACGTCGCTTGACGACTCGTCGATGCAGGCAGGGGAGACCAAAGCCGAAGAGAAGAAGCCTGTGAAGAAGAGAAAGTCATGGGGCCAGGAATTGCCTGTCCCGAAGACTAACTTGCCTCCGAGGTAAGACATTTAGATTCATATATATATCTATATCTATTCACATGATGCTAATTCGACATCCAGAAAACGGGCCAAGACTGAAGATGAGAAAGAACAACGTCGTATCGAGCGCGTCCTTCGTAATCGTGCGGCAGCACAAACATCACGCGAGCGCAAGAGGCTCGAAATGGAGAAGTTGGAGAATGAGAAGATTCAGATGGAACAGCAAAACCAGTTCCTTCTGCAACGACTATCCCAGATGGAAGCCGAGAACAATCGCTTGAACCAACAAGTCGCTCAACTCTCGGCTGAGGTCCGGGGCTCCCGCGGCAACACTCCCAAGCCCGGCTCCCCTGTCTCCGCTTCTCCTACTCTCACCCCCACCCTGTTCAAACAAGAGCGCGACGAAATCCCTCTTGAACGGATTCCTTTCCCCACACCCTCTATCACCGACTACTCCCCTACCTTGAGGCCTTCCACTCTGGCTGAGTCCTCCGACGTGACACAACATCCTGCAGCGGTGTTGTGCGACCTGCAGTGTCCGTCGCTGGACTCGAAGGAGAAGGAAGTGCCCTCTCTCTCTTTGACGTCGGCTCAAACCCTGAACCTCACGCTGCCGATGATCTTGCAGCTCCTCTTTCTGACGATGACTTCCACCGCCTATTCAACGTTGATTCACCCGTTGGGTCAGATTCTTCAGTCCTTGAAGACGGGTTCGCCTTTGACGTTCTCGACGGAGGAGATCTATCAGCATTTCCATTTGATTCTATGGTTGATTTCGACCCCGAATCTGTTGGCTTCGAAGGCATCGAGCCGCCCCACGGTCTTCCGGATGAGACTTCTCGCCAGACTTCTAGCGTGCAACCCAGCCTTGGCGCGTCCACTTCGCGATGCGACGGGCAGGGCATTGCAGCTGGCTGTTAGCGAGCAGTTTCGCCAGGGAGATGCATCGGCTATCGATGGTAACGGAGTCCAATGGAGCTGGGAGTCCTTGTTGACCTTGGCGTGGACGATAGACCTACTCGAAAAGCCGGGACGACGCAAACGAATCTTGAGCGGTTTGAAATCAGCGAAAACTGGACGGCGAAGTAATATTGGCAAGTCTCAAAGGAGTACACGGAGTTCATGGAGTTCACGAAGCACCCAAGAGGCGTTGACGTCTCTCCTGATGGGCAAGCATAGTTGAGGTTCCGGCTGTAAATTATCATAAATTCTTATAATTCTCTTTTAGATTTTCAATCCAGCAGTTAATAGTCTGCTCATCATTTCTCTTTCGCTTGTTTTGACCGACAGGTGACTAGGAAAATCAGTTTCTGAGCCCGTTAGATTTGCAAGTAGCTGGGCACCATAGATAGTCTTGTAGCTACCACATCAATTCTTTAGGCATCAGCGGTACTACTTCACTACCATTTTTGTCAATTGTAATCGGCATGCAGGTTGTAGTGGCACCTCCGCGCGCAGCGGATACGGCGATCGGGATGACGTTGCCACGCAGTCCCCCGCCCTCCCATCTAGACTCTGGCTGTCTCTCCATCGGGGCTGAATGTTGCCTCCCGCTCCCTATCTTTTGACCCCAAACTTCCTATCTCTTCCATGCGCCCAAGCCTCACTTTCTGCTTAGATACCCTTTTGTGCCCACTCCATTTTTTGTCACCTGTTCCCTCAGTCCTAGAACAAAATGGTTCGGAAGGATCCTATCTTTGAAGCCCGCACCAATGTCAAGGTAGGCGGTGCCGCATTATTCCCCCTCTCTGCGGCAACATTTCAGCGTCTGCCCGCTTATCAACGCACCCTTGTCTGAATAACTGTCAGTTGGCTAATTCTATATCATTGTCCACCTTTTAGCTACACTCTAATCGACTGAAAAAGGAGGCCGCCCGTGCGGAAGCGACCTTCAAATCTGAGAAGGCTAAGGCTGACAAGGCCATGAAAAACCGCGAATTTCAGATCGCCCGCATCCATGCCGCTTCTGCCGTACGAGAAAAACGCAGACAGGTCACCCTCAAGGCGGAGGCTGCCAGAGCAGATGTCATTATCAACGAGCTCAAGGCTGCGCAGAGCACTCGGGACACGTCTCGGACGCTTGCATTGGCATCACGGGGCCTGGATGCTGCCTCCAAGAGTGTAAATCTTGAGAGCTTGGTTTCCCATGCGAACAATTTCCTGGCGCGCTCCGAAGATTTCAAGATTGCTAGCAGTGCGATCGAGGATGTTGCGCAAGGGATCTCTATGCAGGAGAATGGCGCAGAGGGTGAAGCCGATGTGGATCGCCTGATGGAGCAACTTGCTGATGACGCTGGGGTGGATCTCCGGATGGCTTTGGAGCAGGATGCTGCTGCTGCTCCTAAGGAGGAGGTTAAGGCTCCGAAACAAGTTGACACTGAAGTTGAGGATGGCTTGGATGCTAGGCTACGAGCTCTCAGGGCGACCAACTGAATTTCAACTACTTCGTTTCTATCGTCCTCTACTGTCACGTTAACTTTGGCCTTGTACTTGTTGATATGCTTTCGGATTCGGCGAATTATTGGGGTAACTAACAGCGCGTTGGGTATTTTTAGGGTTGAGGTTCAGTTACTCTTGAGAGTATATTGTTCTGTGGGCGCTCATGACTATATGGTCCATCATCATGCTATGCTTTACATGCTTTGTGGGTTCTTGCAATCTCTTTTGTTACATACCCGTGAAAATCGCACTTGCTGCATACGTTCATTGTTTTGCCATGCATTTGAAGGATTTCTAAATGGTCGGTCTTATAAGAGAGACGCACATTTCCTCTGCACAGATACTGTTCGAGTGGTATAGATACCTTTCCTCATATTGTCATTTTCGGTCCCTTCTTGAATTGGTACGTTTCTTCCATACACGTGCTCTATTTTCTGTCCATGGACAATTATGGAGCATAGTTACAAGGAGAATAGGTCTTTCATCCATACACTCATCGTGGGGCACCATCGTCTATTCAAGACAAATGTTTCAAGGAGCAGTGACATGGTCAGTTTGTAGGAATATGGCCGCTATTTAACAATACATATAGAAAGGGTGTATAGAGAAGAATTCTCAGTAGGCAGCATTATACTCTTAATACTCCTTCACGGCTGTCGTAGACTTATAGATCCTAAATAAGTACCGTTATTTAACGAGCAAGCCCGGCTAGCTCAATCGGTAGAGCGTGAGACTCTTAATCTCAAGGCTGCGGGTTCGAGCCCCGCGTTGGGCTTTCCTTTTTTTTCCCATACATAAAAGTATGTTCATTCACCACCCGGCTAACATGACTTGTCCTTCATTTTTCTTCTTCCACCCGTCTTTTGCTATGCTTGTTGTACCTTGTGCTTCCAATTCAATCGACCTCTGGTAGGCTTTTTTACAGTTCTAGCATAGCTGAAACACTTTTCCAAAGCCACAGCCGTTTCCTTCCGGATGTTGTTCCGCCGCTGTCTATGAATGCCGCGTAAGATATGTTTCCGTGATCGTCATTTATCAGCCACTGAGCCACTTTTGATCCGGGCCGTGTCATCTTCATGAGCCGGTAGTATGTTTCCAAGGCCCAGCCACGAACGTTGGGATAGCGAAAAGGCTATATATACCCCATAACCACAAAGCTGCTTGAGTTAACTCTTGTAACAGGCGATGGATAGCTCCGCTGCGTTGGATCCCAACAAAGCATCTCATGGTCGACAAGCCGCCTGCTTGAACTGTAGGAAAAGCAAGGTCCGGTGCAATCGAGGCCAGGATGATGCGTCGTGTAGCAGATGCAAACAGGCCAATGTTGAATGCATCATCCCCAGTCACCATGTCGGTAGACAGAAAGGGGTCAAAAAGTACGCGCTAAATGTATTGATCTTTCAAGGACCCCAAGCTGACATGGTGAAAATCAGCAAACGCAAAGGCCTTGAAAAAGCATTACATCAGATTGAACAGGCCATAAAGAGACCGCGGAGTGATGCGTCAGGGTCTGAGGCGGCCCAAAAGCTCATATCAGACCTTCAAGAGATGCTCAGCAATACACGCGAACAGCAGTTACATAGCGAGGCAGACGACCAGTCCGAAGATTTTGACCGGTCCTATACGTACCATTCGCCCCGGGATAACATCGGCGATAATCTGTCTCTAGATGACGCAGAGAATCCTTTGCAACTACTCGCACGTGCCTCTGATCTACAGCTATCGCCGACCGAGGTGCGTGGTGCACACAAATGGCCACCTTCAACAATTCAGCCATCAGGCATGCTGCAGAACAGCACCGAAGGAAGCGACCCTACCGCGCAATCATATTTTGTTCCCATCAGGGCAAGTCTAGATGTTGGCCCGGGTATAGACCCAATCGACATCGGTCTTGTAACTCCGAGTGAAGCCGAATCGCTTTTCACTTTGTATGCCCAGGCTGCGTTGACTAAATTTGTGCCTTCATAGCTTACTTATCATTGATGCCAGCTTTTATCAGAACCTCGCACATACTCGATGGGGCCTTGATCCCCTGGTCCATACTGTCTCGTTTGTACGGACCCAATCCGCATTTCTATTCACCTCTATCATGGCCGCGGCTGCATTGTTCTTGCCATCTGCTACAGCACTGTCGAAGCGGCTATCTAGACACTGCAAGACACTGGCCCAGAATGTCATTGTCCGACGCCACAGATCTGTTGAGATCGTCCTAGCCTTCATGGTAAATGTTCCATGGATGGAGCCCGGTAGTTGCTTAGGAGATGACGATACATGTTCCTACATTGCCATGGCTCTAGCTGTTGCTTTGGATCTTTCGTTGAACAAAATTGTGCTTCCATCATCTAGCTTTGAGCCGAGCCTACTTAGGAGACTCGCCAAGGCCGAGACTATCGATGCAAAGAGAGCTCTATACATGGACCGATTTGATGGCGTAGAACCGACATCTGCATGGGGCCGAAGACTTCTTCGAAGGCGTGAGAGAACTTGGATAGCGCTGTTTGTTCTCGAAAGAGGGTAAGCATTCCACCAGAAGCTCTGCTATTATACCTGGGAGGCATTACTACCACACCAGCCAGGTTCCTCCATACCACACTTCTCTCATGCCACACCCTGCTGCCTACCTCGAAGGTTAAGGCTTTCTCCCTATAGGGTAATTCTTTTAGTACAGGCAGAGGACCTTCCATCTTCCTGATGGAGATATTACCTATCTGAAGTATAACATACTGCCTCGGGCTTGAAATCAATCAAAACTACAGATAATAGAGCCTCTGCCCGTACTAAGAGAAGTACTTTATAAGGAGAAAGCCTTACCCTTCTTCAAGATAGGCGGCAGGCTGTGACATGCGTGAAGTGTGATGTAGAGGAGTCTGGCTGGAATGGCGGTAGCGTCTTATACATAGGTGTAGCACCCGTCTAACCTTTGGCTTGCAGTGTATGTTTAGCTCGCGGACGAAGCTATACAGTTCCTTCGACTGCCCTTATAAACCATTGCGATAAGTGGCATGTGTCCGATTTTGCGGACTCGCGCGATGGCCCGATGAATTCGATGGCTGTCCTCAGACGGAACCTGGTAAGTGCACTGGCGGTCTCAAGCGTACGAAAGGACCTTTTTAACCGGAGCGAATAGGATGGTCTCTTCCTCAGAGTAAAAGCCAATTGCGATAGTCATCAGGTCACAGATGCCGGGTCTGAGGTAGCGCAATCGTACGTGTGCATCCCACAAGTTGTGGACACGCGAATAACTCACGGTGTTCCCAGGATCAAGAATATGATTGAAAGCTTCTACGACCAGTGGTATGAGATATGGGCGCCTGAGATAGGAGAAGGTCACTGTAAGTCCCTTGTAGGGGTGTGACAGGCTCGCATTAACCATTGGACAAACGGCTAATCTACACCAAGCACGCTCCCTTCCACCCTATGTGGAGATTCTTGTAACGCATACGAGGTTATCGACATATGGTGGTGTTATCAATCACCCTACAGCACCCGTGGAAGTCAAAAGATTCTTTCGTGCCGCCGGCCTTTCTTCTGCACTAAACGTCTTGAGAGCAGCTATACAAGGAGAGGCGCGATTGAAGTCTATGCCCAACAACACAGTCATCATGATATCCTTTGCTGCATGCTCAGCACTTAGTCTTAGCGTCATGCCAGAAGACAGCAGGTCTAGTTTGGCGCCAAGTGTTCATAATCTGATCGAGGAAACTGCAGGGGTCCTCGAGCGTATTGGAGCTACTACCCGCCATAGAAACGGCGCCTCTGTTCTCTATGGGCGCTTTTTGAGGGCGCTTGTCAGACGCGCTCCTGTAAGCGCAGGCTCCCAGAACGGACCGCGGGGCTTGGTCGAAACGGGGGCCCTACAACCTCCGCCAGACTTGGATGGGTATTGCCCGGTGGCTTCCGGGACACAGCCATCTTCGATACCGTCGACTTTTATATGGCCTGAACCACTCAGATTTTCTGCCATGTCCGATGACCAGATCATAGACGCAGTGAACCGGGCTGGGACTGCATTTGGGACGACTGTGCCTGACGTCCCACTGGATGACCTAATGACTTGGGACTGGTTCGACGTCGGAAATGCGGCAGATTTTGGCTTCTGAATGGGTGAAGGCTTGCGCGCAGATCGGTGGCTACGCGGATCGATGAATGATCTCATTTCTGGTTCCGACCGAAGGGTCTGAGAGCTCCGCCGCTCGGCGACTAGAAGTAGCGCCGAGTGCCGAGGGGTGCCGTTCTCAGCTTCCCATATTAACCAGCCCGATTTCCTGCTTTTCCTGACTGGATAGCCTCTGCAACACTTTTTCGACTGCTATTCAACTGATTCTGTTGCTACGAGGGAAAATGGCAACCATTCGATTATCTGCGTTGGTCTTGTCGCGAAGGTTGATTGTCCGTCCGCAATGCTATCGACGGTCGCAACCACTCACGAGCCTCTATGCGCCTCCCGCTACTAAAGCCGGTAGCCGGGCCAGATACTCAACTTCTACACATGAGCAAGCTCCGCGGGCCCCGAAGATTGATCGTGCTGCTTCAAAGTTATTCAAAGATGCGGATACGGCCGTAGCAGATCTGAAGAGCGGGTCAACCATTCTTAGTTCAGGCTTCGGCCTATGTGGTGTCGCAGGTAAGGTCTCTCCTCGCGCTTTGCCAGATACAGTTTGACTGACAAAGAAATTCTACTGTAGAAACGTTGATTTCTGCGATACATCGCAGAGGGGCCGACAACTTGCATTCCTTGACGGCGGTTTCGAACAATGCTGGTCTCGCTGGGAAGGGCGGGCTGTCTACCCTAACGCAAGCGGGACAGGTCAACAGACTCATACTTTCCTACCTGGGAAACAACAAAGCTCTGGAGAAGAAATACTTGACGGGAAATATTGCCATCGAACTGTGTCCACAAGGCAGTCTGGCCGAGCGACTACGTGCTGGAGGAGCTGGGATTCCCGCGTTTTATACCCCCACAGGAGTTCGTGAGTTTTTGATCACTAAGGGATACATGATATAACTTACTGAATCATTTTTTTGGCAGATACTCTGCTTCAAAAGGGAGAGATCCCGGTGCGTGTAGACGAATCCGGAAAGGTGCTCGAGCATGGCAAGCCCCGCGAGACAAGGGAGTTCAATGGCAAAACTTTTATGATGGAGACTGCACTCAATGGGGATGTGGCGATTCTCAGAGCATGGAAGGCAGATGCTGCAGGAAATTGTGTTTTCCGGTAGGCATTCTTTCAACGCTCTCTAATATACGAACAAATGCTAATGATGTGTCTTAGTTACACTACGAAGGCATTCGGCCCCATCATGGCGAAGGCAGCAGCCCTTACCATCGTGGAAGCCGAGAACATTGTCCCCGTTGGCTCAATCGACCCTAACGATGTTGATCTACCGGGAATCTTTGTTGATAGAATCGTCCCCGCAACCGATGAAAAGCATATCGAAATCAAGAAATTGCGATCTGACAAGGGTGATGAGGCAAATAAGAAGGCAGAGGACGCTGCGACTATCCTGCGGAACCGGATCGCCAAGCGGGCTGCTCGGGAACTCAAGCAGGGTTACTATGTCAACCTCGGTGTTGGTATTCCTACACTGGCCCCCTCATTTCTGCCCGAAGACGTAAAGGTTTGGATCCAATCCGAGAACGGTATCCTGGGAATGGGACCTTATCCGACCGAAGAGGAACTTGATGCGGATATTATCAATGCCGGCAAAGAGACCGTCACTCTGGTACCGGGCGCTTCCACATTTGATAGCAGCGAGTCGTTTGGAATGATTCGCGGCGGGCATGTAGACGTGTCGATCTTGGGAGCTTTGCAGGTCGGCGCGAACGGCGACCTGGCGAACTACATGATTCCCGGCAAGGTGTTCAAGGGAATGGGAGGAGCCATGGACTTGATCTCCAACCCCGAGAAGACCAAGATTGTGGTTGCCACCAGCCACACGGCGAAGGACGGATCTCCGAAGATTGTGGACCAATGCAGCCTTCCTTTGACTGGCGCCAACTGTGTCAGCACTATTATCACCGAACTGGTAAGTGGGAAAAGAGCCCTGGCCGATGACGGCAATCAGCAATCTTTCAGGGAAGGAAAGGCAGAGCTAACAGCGGACTATAGTGCGTCTTTCAGGTAGACCGGACCAAGGGTGAGCTTTTGTTGACGGAATTGGCCCCGGGCGTGGAGGTCGAGGAGATTCAGAACAAGACTGGGGCGAAGTTTACGGTTGCGGAAAACCTGGAGATCATGGAGTAAAATGAGTCGAGGCTGGGTGTACATGTGATGAACCGCCCCTCACCTGTAAATCTATTTTTTTTGTTTATACATATTGTCAAGGCAAAGGATCAGCTGACCCTGGCTGGAGTGAAAGTCTCAACATCATACGGAGTATCATTACTCTTGCCCGGCCTTCTTCATTTCATTGATCCATACCGTACCCAGGAAATCAACCACACATATGATAGAATAAATAGATCAATGATATACTTACTGCATGCAAGCTAAGGTGGGCTTATCCAGCTTTCAAAGACTGTATGTATTGTATGTATATTGAAAACTCTCCAGAGAACTAACTAGTAGTGCTTACTTACTACTAGCCAAAAGACATACAATACATACATAGCCGACGACCCAAAAAGGACATGGAATATACAGACGGGTATAAACGGGCATCTATTCTGTTACTACCATCTCCAATGTCCTTTTCGCCATCGAAAGAGTAGATATAGAGATGCGGCGTATATATCATATCATGTTTGCAATTGCACCTCCAGGAGGACATGTGGAATGGCGGTGCTACTCGCCGGCATGGAATAAGTGAAGTTCCAAAACCTAAAGTCACTATAGAAATTTGGTTAGCTTATTGGCCACCAAACAAACAAGGCGCTAGAGGCTTTATTTACTTGATGACTTGGTCGCTCAAGCTATACGAGATGTTCAGGCTGTTCGGGTCCATATTGCCCGACACGGTAACATCCAGGCCGACAATATCCTCCCAGCTGGCCACATTCCTCTGGGTCTCAAAAGGAGATACCAGGAACTGGAATTGAGAGGCCGACGTTCCGCGCGGATAGGTCAGGTTCAGATAACCGGGTCCAACCTCGGCATTCAGAGCCGGCTCCGTCGCGTACAGCTGTGGAATGTATGTTAGTCATGGCTTTTGAGAATCAGTATCGTTGTTTAAGGATAACCCACTGTTATCCACCCTACTCCAGCCCCAGTATCCCACTGAATGACAGCCGGGTTAAACTGTGATGGATTAATGGCCGGGCCACCGACGACAGACTCATTGAAGGTCTCTGCTCCAATGCTGATGCCTTCACTCAGCCACGCAGTCACCTGTCGCGGGGAGGAGTCATATGGAATAGAGTAAGCGGAAGTGTTGACCGTATGCTCACCAGGGAAGGTTTTCAGGGCTTGGATGGCCGATGACGGGACAAGCGAGTTATGAAAGTCGGACAGAATAGCTATCAGGGGTGAGATGGAAAAGTCGGAGTTATGAGACATCATATACACCTTGGTGTTTTATCGATTGTTAGCGCCCAGACCCAATAAACGCAGTAATGATCCCCTCTCCCGTTCCTGCTCACCTTATCAATAACAGGGGAAGTCTCTTTCCCGACCAGCGACCAAATATGTCCCGACATGATACCAAAGTACTTTTGCATATCAAAACCATAAGCTCGATCCCAGGGACCAGCGAGGTTCTTCAACCCAGCATGATATAACTCCCCAATGGTGTCCCACGTATCCTGCAACATCTCCTTCCCTTTCCCCTTCATGACTGAGTCCTCTGCAGCGTACTTGGCCCACATGGTCAAAGCAATCAGGGAAACGCCCGTGTACGTGGCACTGTTGAATTCCGAAAGCGTGTCTGCGCGATCGAACAGCTCTATGATCTCCTGTGCGTACGTCTCGCCGGAGTTTGTCATATTCTGGTCGCCAAGTTTGCGTCCCGTCCAGCCTGTGATGATGGCACGCATTAAGGACTGCGCAGTCAACTAGTCAGCAGTTTACTCTCACTTATTCGTATGAAGAGTTGATGATTCCTCACGCACCGGGTTCGTATACGAGGGATACAAATTATCATCATCCACTCCACCAACTCGATAACTATCCCCGGTAGTGTCATTGTAAAGCGAGGCATGCATCAGCTGCGTCATATCTGCATCGATCAGATGCGGGAACTCCTCGAGCGCAATGATAAAAGCTGTGCCGATGAACTCTCTCCAGTTGGGGTCCCAGGTATCGTAGATAATGGGCGGGTATGCTGGGGTTCCTACTGTGGGTTCTTCGGGGTACTGCTGGTAGTCTCCATACCTGTGTGAGACGCATAGGCCGCGCCGGTTAGTCAATTATTATATTTAGGGGGAAATGTCTCCCAAAATGCCAATCACACCCACCATTGATCAGTTGTATCCTTGAACTGCGCATCTATCACATTTCGAATGATAGTCATGGCCTGAGCTACATCATCTCCTTGATCCCGAGCCAACAATCCCACGGCATACCACACGGACGTCCTGGTATCGTGTCGCAGCGCCGTCGCAGCACTCGGATCATAGACATATCCCGCCGAAGCATCGTATATCCGATCGAGGTAATCCATTGACTGTGTGAAAAGCTGGCATGTATTTGTTGACCAGGATGACTGGCACCAGTCATTACTATTGCTAGTGCTGGTTGATACCGCCAGGGTAGTAGATCCGACGAGTGCGAGCACAGATGCTCTCAGATACCGCGACATTTTGTCTAGAAACAGAGCCCAAAAAAATCCGAGTTAACCCTCACACAGTACGCAAAAACAGCGGGAACAGGGAAAACCAGTGTTTTATCTACATCATCTCTTTCCATTTGCGGGGAAAAGACAACACAACCCCATCGACGCCCATTTATTGGTGCGAGTTCTTTTCCCCCTCTCCCCCTCAGTGGGGTTCGGGTTTATCGCAAGTTATGTTTGTTGACTTCGGTCTTTTAGCCGGACTGCATGGACTGATTGTCTCTCCTATACTGAGTTCTAATCAATCGGGTTGGGATCGGCCGAAATGCGGGGTTGCAGGCGAGCTAGCATTTCATTTATCCCAGTCCCTATCTTTCTGTCTATCTAACTTTCCCTTAGTTGTACATTCAATGATAGATAAATAAGATAGGGTTATTAGGATATATAGATAGATTTTACAGAGAGTATATCCATACCAGGAGGACTTGTTCCATGGTCCAAGATTTCATCCTGCAAGGGTACTTCCTTGAAAGGCTAACCCCTTAAAGTCTGCCTAGAAATTTTAGGCGGCTTCTTCATCTTCATCTCTTGGTGCCGGTCGCCGCTGCTGCTTTTCCTTTCCGGCAAAACTGAGTAGCATGCCAATGTCATAGACAGCCTTCAAAATACCCGCAATGGTGAATGAAAGCCCGAAGACACCTCGATCAGCCAAGATACCGGTCAACAGAGGTCCAAGGCTCTGGGCACAGGTTTTGACGACATTAATCGATCCCATGATAGCCGTGCGACGGTCCGGCGGCAGCGCTGCAGCAAGGAAGGCCGAGCGAGGAGCCACATCCATAGTTTGAGAGCAGGCGCGGAGCACCAAAAAGGTCAGCGCCAGCGGGAGAACCGAAGGAACTGGGATGAGTGCCAGGCAAATAGCGGAGGGAAGATGAGTGAAGACCATGGTCTGCAGTAGTCAGCAAAAAGTGGCCAGATTCCGGAAAAGGATATATATCTTGGAGAGAGCAAACCTTGACATTTCCAATGCGCTTGGCGATGGATGAGGCCACCAGAACAGAGGCCGCAGAGATAAGGCTGGTTGTGAAGAAGATGGATCCGAGTGACCCTTCAGGGAGGGAGAACTTGCGCTTAAAGAAGTATGTCATCCACGACCTATACGACATGTCAGTCTCATCGAACTATACGGTTTCTGGGACAGCCTTGAAAGAGTTGCCATACAGAGATGCCAGTCCAGAGGCGAACGAGTCCAATGCGAACAGGATCGCAAGTCGCAGAAACAAGGAGACGACCTCGGAATCGCCGAGGAAAGAAAGGATCGATTTCTTCTTCTGAGGCGGCTGCTCTTGAGGGGCGGCGTTGCTTGTCTGATCGCCCAGCAGAGGTTGTCTTTCACCCTCACTACTAGACCGTTGCGCAGGCTTCTTCTTCTCGGCCTCGACAGCGGAGCTCAGTGCAATAGACAGGAGAAACTTGAGCGCGCCGATAGCGGCGTAGGCAAAAAAGATGACTCGACAGGCGGGGATGTAGGGCCATCCCCAGATAACCTGAAGCAGGTTGATGGCCCATCCACCGGTCATCATGCCCAGGGCGGTGCCCGCATTGCCAATCAGCGAGTACCAAGCGAAGATATCGCTCAAGATCTCTTTGGGGGTCAGATGGGCCAAAGTTGATTCTTCGACAGCCCGGAAGGGGCCAATTTCGTTTCCACTGTTATTGAGTTTGTAAGCCTGTATGCCCAGACATTGTCGGGGATACTATAAATAGTCGGATGTTTCGCTCGGAATTCGGAGAACTCACCTCGGACTTATGACACCGAAGACGGCCGCCGCCAGAAGGACCCAGTAATTGCCGACCGAAGCAAAGAGGATGCCGCTGCCCACCATCAAAGCTGAGCCCAGGGCCAGGACGGCCCTGCGACCCATGGCATCGGCGAACAGAGTGAGGAGGAAGCTGATAGCGACATCGCCTACCAGGGTCAAGGTCATGAAAAGACCGATGCGTTCATCGGAGATATCTAATGCCGAGAGATAGGCAGCCAGGATTAGAGTTGAACCACCGTAAGCGAAGAGACGCACAAAGCGCTGGGCGCAAAGCAGTTTGACATCTCGGGGGGATTGCCAGACTGAAGTCAGGCCAAGTTCAGCGAGAATGCGGTGATGCACACGCGTTCCTCGCGAAGAAGCGGAGGAAGGTGGATCGGACGGAGCCGACATGATAATAATGCGCCCTTGTGTAAAACAGGCAATTAACCCCTCAATTGAGAAAGTATGGTAGTAAATATACAATTGTAAATATGGACAAGAAGAAAAGGATGGAGAGAAGGGAGGGAAAAGAGAGCGAAGAGGGGGAAGGAAGAGAGTAGAAATAGAAGAATGATGTAGGGGACGGGAAGGCGGGATTGAAGTTCTGCAGATCGTCTCCTCCAGGCAGCCAGGCACCCCATCCAGGGTCCAATCCAGATACATCAATTAATCGCCTGCCATCAACGCCTCCAATTGGACCTGCATCCAAGTTAAGCCTTCAGTTAAGTTAGAAGGAGTTCATCTTGCTCTGAAGTAATTACTCCACGAAATGCCCAGCATTTTGGTCAAATCATGTTGGGAGTTAGTATGTCTCGGCCAGGATAACACGCACTAACCCTTCCTCTGTCCACGTCATTCTACTTCTATTTTGGTCTCATTCTCCTTCGTTGTCATAGTACATGATATCCCAGTCTCTCGTGCCTTACATTGACTCTTTTCGCTTCTTCGTTCCATGTTGGAAGAGCTATTCTTTCACTGAGACCTTCACCGGTTGTAGCTACACCAGGACAGTCAGTCTCTTCTATGCCGAACTACGACCAAAAAGCCCGATGTTGAATTTAGCTCCTCCTTACAAATTTTTGAATATTTTCTTGTGTTCCACATTCCATTATACTACGGAGCATTCAGCTGGTAGGTAGTTGTAGGTACCATAATAGCCAGATGAGTAATAACTACCGAGGGTGGCCCACTAATAGGGCTGATGGACACTCAGCCTTACAGGAGAAGTCAGCCTTTTCAGACTTCATTCATCTAAACGTCGTTACCTACACACAAAAGAAAAGTGATAGTAGCTATAATGTTTATCAATATGAAACTAAAATAGTTCTATAACGTTGCAAACTTGTGGTTCCTTGGTCAATTATTCAGTTAACAACGCAGATAATCCAGAGTCGCGAGAGGGAAAGTTAAGCGAACCGATGGACAGTAAACAGACAAACCATGGATATTCCTACGCTCATGGATGCTGCTGTGTATAACATTAAATTTTAATTTACAGCATATAACATCCTCGATGGTCTAACGGTCATGATTTCCGCTTGTCAATCCCTACTGGGAACAAGCGCGGGAGACCTGGGTTCGACTCCCAGTCGGGGAGATGTCTTTTTGATCTTTTGCTTTTTTCTTTTTTTGAATCGTCTGGCCTTATCGGGATACCAAGATGTGTTGGTTGACTTTATTTTTGTAAGGGTAAAACGACAGGAAATAAGAGAATCAGAAAAGGAGAAATCTATCGTGATATAGGGACAATATAAACGCTATTCTATTTACAAGTACAATGCACATCAAAACACTCTCAACGAAGGCTCCAACTCTCATCCCTCGCTCAGTAACTGTTCAAAGCGATGCGGTCGCCATAGGAGTCTCCGTCTTCGGCGGCCACTTAACGCGCCGTTCGGCCCGTACATACAGGTTATTCGGCCTGATCAGCTGGAACATAGGATCGTACTCAATTGGGCCATCAGTCTCCTTGGTGAACTTGTACCGGTACACCAGTTTCGGCAAGAACACCTTAACTTCTTGCAGAGCAAAGTTGAAGCCGATGCACATCCGAGGACCGGCCGCAAAGGGAATGTAGGACGATTTGTGTCGGTTCTTGACCTCTTCAGTATCCCATCGGTCAGGGTTGAAACGCGTCGGGTTGTCCCAGACGTCGGGATTGTTATGAAGGTGATGAAGTGCGCCGATGACGACCGAGTCTTCAGGCAGTTTGTAGCCACCAGGAAGAATCATGTCCACCTTGGCTGTACGCGCGGGTTGGTAGGACGGGTTGTGTCGGCGCTGGGTTTCCTTGATGAACTTGTCCATGAATGTCAGACGGTCGGTCAGGTCGGCGGTGATTTGCGTATCGGCATCGATGCCGTTATCCACGAGCTCTTGCAAAAGCCTATCCTGCACTCCAGGGTAGTTGACGAGACTGTAAATCAACCATGACAGCAGCGAGCTGGTGGTGGTGAAGCCAGCTCCAGTTGCGACAACCAGGGCTTGGATTAAGCTCGTTTTGGGCAACTTTTCGCCTTTGTTATCCGTCGCCCGGATAGCGTAGTCTGTTCGGCAGTTAGCGGCTGTCTGGAAGGTGATAGCTATAGATTGACACACCAATCATGTTATGGGCTTTTAGGGCGGCATCCTGAAGTGGGAGATCCTCAACTCCACCACGACTAGCGTTCTGGATGGACTCGTCGACAATGTTCCAGACCCGACCACGGATTTGTTGAAGGCGTTTAGGGTCTCCGAAGGGCAGTTTGGCGTACCAGTCACCTCTGGCAGTGATCTTCTTATTCAGTTCAAGGGACTCGGCGATCAGAAGGATCAATTCATGCGGGGGTGCATTCATGTTGGAGAAGTGTTGGAAGTCAATGCCCAAGACTAGCTTTCCAACCGCCTGAGAGCCAAGCTTCAACATGTATTGATAGACATTCCACGCTTCGCCTTGCTCATCAAATGCATCAAACACTTTGAAGGCATCCTCTACCGTCTGCTGCATGACTGGCGCATAATGACGGACAGCCTTTGGTCCGAATGCGGGAGGGAGAAATTTATGGGCAGTTCTCCATTCAGGTGTGTCGGTGTCGCCGAGGAACACACCCGCTTCCTTGTTTTTGATTGCATGAAGCGGATGGGATTCATTGATTTTCTTAGTGAAGAAATCACTTTCCGAGAAAACAATCGCACTGAGTTCTGGGTCGTTCGTGTGGTATACCGTGCGGCCATAATTGGTAGTCTTGAAGAGAGGCCCGTACTGCTCAAACAAGCGCTGGTGGTTGCCCAAGTGATCGGGATAGATCTCAAAGAAATTTCCAATTATCGGAAGCCCCTTTGGCCCCGGGACCTCTCTCACTGGTTTCCCATCAATGGCGATACTAATTGGGGCTTCAGAAGCGATGATCTCAGCCACACTGGTGAAGACGGCGTCTTCAGACTGAAAGCCAATGCCTAAAGTAGTCAGCTCGGAGGTGATTCTGGAAAAGGACAATGAGAGATAGGAGCTTTGGTACCATTGGGGTCAACTATCGCAAAATGCGCAGCGATTAGGTTTCTAAGCCCATCATAATCTAGCGATGAGTCCACTTCGATCTCCCGAGCGGTTGCCACGGGCTCACCCAGGAGATGAAAAAGCTTTGCAGACATAATTAGAATGGTTGTTAAAAATCTCTCGACGGGCGGTTGGGGAGATTCTGCCTGCCAAGGGTCATCGTAGAGCTTTATAGAGAGTACGTACTATCTCTAATAAAACTACCCTGATGCGACAGACAAATCAGGGCGAATGACCCAGACTGACAATGAACCCACATAGACCGGTCATGGTATTCGCTATCCACATAGCACGAAATGGAAAGGTTTCTAGTTTCAGCGATAGTGCACGAATTGCGTTCATTTCAAAGACATTTGTGCGCATAGACATTGAAGGCCTCGGTGCCTGCCTCGGTTGTTTCGTGAGTCGCTATCACCGAAAACTCGAACTAACTGCAAAGAAGACAACGATCGCCACCCCAGACCCACTGGCTAAGGAGTTTCTGCCATGAAAAGGAGAAGGCTATGGCAGGCTCAAACCAAGAGGTGGGTGGCTTCATCGGCTACGCCGTGCCGACCCTCCAGTCGGGTCGTTAAGCGTCAGACGTGGCCAATCTCCGAAGAAATGATGCCGGCCGAGCCAAGCGTTGCGAGACTTTTAGCAACGCAATGTGGGTATCAAGTTGACTATTATGTCGCGCTTCATTAGACGCATACCGCTGCTATACCTCGGAATAAAAAAAATTGGCAGTTATAATGCCAGAGCCCTGGTTCATTTCGTTCCCTCCTAGCAGAACGGCTATCCTTTACCATTTCACCAATTCTCATTCAAATAAAAATGGCCCAACCTGTACCCTTAGACTCAACAGCCACAATGGGAGCTGATTCCCAGCTTGCCGAGTATACATTGGCCGATGTTGCCAAGCATAACCGCAAGGATGACATCTGGATTGCCATCCACGGGCAAGGTAAGGGCTTTCGAGGAGTTCACATGATGGGTTACTGAAACTGTTACATAGTATTTGACATCACCGAGTACCTGCAGGATCATCCAGGAGGCGTGGATATTCTCCTTGAGACCGCAGGCACTGACGCCACCGCAGATTTCGAGGATGTCGGCCATTCGGAAGACTCCAGGGAGATCTTGCAGGAGTACTTGATCGGTACCCTGAAGGACGCTAAAAAGTTTGTTCCTCCAAAGGCAGTCCGTGTAATTGCCCAGAAGCCAGAGAAGACCGAAGACCCAGCAACCAATCGTTCATCGCTCCTAGCAGTCACTGGGGCCTTAGGAGCGGTAACGACCCTGCTCTACGTTCTGAATCGGAAGAGTCCTGGAGTTTTCAATATGAGAAGAGTTCTTGGTAGTGCCATGCCACAAGAGTTCAGTGGAATCAGACTACCAGGCGGTGGATTCGCCAATGGATTCCTCGCAGCCACGCTTTTCTCCTGCGCAATTGGCAGCGTAGTGGCGCGCCAAGCTGCCAAAATGATGAAGATCGAACATGGGTTCATGCGCTATCCTCCGCATATCAAAGCCCGGAAAGTGGCCCGGGCAGACCCTCACATGGCGAAGGGCTTTCTCGACTCCAAAGAATACCAGCGTCTACCCCTGGTCCAGAAAGAATTGTTGTCACCCAATGTGTACCGATTTGTATTCGCTTTGCCTGATACGAAAGGGGTGATTGGCCTTCCCATTGGACAGCATGTTGCCATCCGCGCCATTATTGATGGTAACACAGTGAGCCGATCCTATACCCCTGTCTCCAACAATCTGGACTTGGGCCGACTCGAACTGGTCGTCAAGTGTTACCCTGACGGTCTACTGAGCGGGAAATACCTTGCCAACCTGAATGTTGGGGACGAGGTGGAGTTCAGGGGACCCAAAGGAGCCATGCGCTACAGCCGAGGGCTATGTGCCAAGATTGGTATGGTAGCTGGCGGAACAGGCATCACCCCCATGTTTCAACTGATTCGGGCTATTTGCGAGGACGAG